ACCTACTAGCGATGGCCTCCAACCTACTAGCGATGGCCTCCAACCTAATAGCGATGGCCCTCAACCTAGAAGCAAAAGGAACCTACTAGCGATGGCCCCTAAGAGAAAACCTATGCGGACATGCAGCCTTGTGTTTTGAAAGCACACGCTTGCACTGGTCGATGTATTTTCCAAATTACTCGAGTTCTCTGCCCTTGAAAAAAACAATCCGGTTTGCTCAGCTCTTAGAATGGTCAACGTCGCATCCTTGCTTGTGTTTGCTATGGCAGTTGAAAACAACCCGATTGAACAAGTGCTGTTTGGGGTCGATGCTAATGTAAGCTGTAGTCGTCGTCGTTTCTGGTCGGTTCTGGAAAAAATTGCACGCCTCTACCACCCCACAGGTGAAATGCTTGTTGAGGCCTTGGGTGAACGATCGTTTTTCAGCCTTAAGGTGCAACCAAAAGGAGGTTTGGAATCTGCCATCCTAAGCATGAACCGTTGGCCCTTCCGCATCCCTGCGCTTAATAGCTTATATTGTTTCTACTAGCAAACATTGTTCCTAGTAGTAAGGCCCTTGCTCCTAGTAGCGATGCCCTTTGCTACTAGTGGCTTCTTGTTACTTATGTGCAGCTTTTCTTCTTGTGCTTTTGTGCTCCTCATCCGACCTTTTCACAGCCACTCCCGCTGAAAAAGAGAACACAGATTCTTAGCATCAAGTGCGAAGTGAGAAGTTCATGCTGCCGGTGTACCGACGGGGTGGTGGTAGTGTTCGACACAGAACTGTCCAGGGCGCTTCCGTTGATCTATGGCCTGGTTCGAGCAGAAGCAGCCCGTATCGAGGCCCCATTCCGGAAGAAATGTGAAGAACAAGACGAAACTCCCTGTGGACGTGATCCACAGCACGGAAAAAATATGAGTTTCTGATAAATAGTTGACTCAAAAGTTATCCAGGCAGGACGGCCCCGCCTCTAGACCATTGGACCTTACGCGCCAGGTCAAAAGCCTTGCCAAAGCAGTTCTTAGATTCTAAACATATATGATGTCGATGAGAAACTGAGCAATTTGGGGGAATAAATATATCTAGATATGACTTGCATTGAGGTGTCAAGAAATCTAGATACAGCATGTAGCCATTTATATATATACAAGTACTTGCTAACGACCCCAGAAATGAAAGAGTATACTTTGTTACTTGTTTGATGGGTGGCATTGGCAGAGCGAACAAATGAAGCATATTTAAATGAGCAAAATGTTTGTTGAAGCATTTGGCATCCCAAATGTCTCATGAGTTAGGAGTCCCAAATGTTTTTAGCATTATGACGCATTTGGGATTCCTAGCTCAAAAGCAGATTTACCAGGTTTGCCACCTCTGCAAAAGAAAACAAAGGCAAGATGGCACTTCCTATACCTCATGCCCTTCAGAGAGGTTAAGACACTTGAGAGAACGAGATCCAATCTCAAGCTGATTAATCAGACGTTCTTGTTGTTTCTAGTTGTTTATTCTTTTGAATATGTTTTCAAACATATTGTTCCCTTCAATCTAGATCAACTCACTCAGAAGCACACCTTGGCTGCTTCGGTTGTCCTTTTCATTTCTTGTCGCGGGAAGAACTGACTTGGACTTGGAACGGCAAATCTTTTTTATGGACCTCTTAATCAATGACCAATGGTGTTTAGGAGTGAAGCTACTAGGGGCTCCTGGCCTTACTAGGAGCCAGGACGCTACTAGGGGCTCCTGGCATCGCTACTAGGAGCAAGGACGCTACTAGGAACAAGAAGCTATTAGAAACAAGAATGAGAGAAGTTGTTAAAGTCCAGCAGAATGTGCTCTCTGCGGATCCTGCTTGACTGCTACTCTTGCTACCAGCTCCGCATGCTGCTCGCATGCAGCTCCGTGTCCAAGTCCGAGTCATTCCGCTCTTTGCACGTTCCGCTCTTGTCGCGTGTGTCGGGCCATCGCATAGAAACTCGCATGATCTGATCGTCACGGATCAAGGAAGAGCTCGGGAGATATGGTATCAATACGTTGCTTCGGCAAAAACACTCCAAAACCTAATGGTCTTGGGTTCGTGCTTTCATTCCGCGAAGACCAATTTCTTGGTCACTTCATTGCCTAACCGCCAGGAAAGCCCTCCTGGTCCTGCTGACGAGCTTCCCATGAGACTCATCCGATTTGCCACATCTTTCAATCTTTTCGATTTGCCATGTTCTTCAAATTGCATTTTCGACCTGTTACGCCTCCTTTCGCAGGTTGTCCAGTTGTCGGCTTCTCTCATCCGCTTCGCTTCACTATCGGTTTTGAATCCAGTGTTTCGCACACAAGAGTTTTAAGGAAGGACAATTTGCAGTTGCCAGGCGATGAATTTGCAGATTCCGCCCGTGATGCTCGACCCCTTGACATGCATTCTAGAGACTTGTTCGTTTGATTGCCCTCTGGACCTTCAGGTGGATGTGGAGCATTTACGACCCATGATCATACGGGCAAACGATTAAGGCACAGATTGCAAGATTGAATAGCCAGTTACATCGGTGAACGTTGACGTGGGCAGGGTACTGCTTGGAAATGAAGAGATGAGATTCTGAGCATGGAGAGATTGACTCACATTTTCATGATAGGACAGTAGGTCTAGTGGGTGGTGTAGCTCACGTCCACAAGTGACATTCAGTGAGCTTGTTGCTGGAGCTGCAACGGGGTGCAATGGGGTGCAACGGAACAAAATGGAACGCGGCGTCGATCCTGTGCGAAGATTCTTTCGAAAGTATACTGTTGCACTCGTGGTATAGATATGCTGTAGGAGATACGAAGCCACAAAGCAAAAGAGGACAAGAAGGAACGGCAAAGAAAGAAACGAAAGCAAAAGAAACATACAGCAACAGAAGAAAGAAGGAAATAAAGAAAGAAAGAAAGAAAGAAATAGAAAGAAATAGAAAGACATAGAAAGAAATAGAAAGAAATAGAAAGACATAGAAAGA